AAAACACACACCACAAAAATATATATATATATATATATATATATATATATATATACACACACGGTGAAAAACACAGAGTTATCGAAACTTTTTTCAACTTTATCGGTATTTTATTTTTTTGTTTCAATTATATCGCCAAATCAACTTCCATTAGTAAAACTAACAAATTGTATGTTGTGATAGGTCGATCATGACGACGAAAATTTCACGAAAGTTGGCTTCGCGATGTAACTAAAACAGGAACAAAAGTTGAATAATTTGAAATTAAAAATGACAAAACTCAAACCTTGCAGATGTCGGTACACTTCCCGAAGCATTTCTCCAATAGTGCACCATCTGCCATGTAAAAAACAAATCAAATTAACTGTAGCATACCAAAGAAAAATAGTGTGTCAACTTGCATGGAAAATGTATCAATTTCTTTTATTCGAGAATCATAACTTCGTTGGCTAAAAGTAGCGTAACTCGAATTTTTTTTTCTGTTCATGAAGCTAGACAAAGCAAAGATAATTCTCGAATTTTCAATTTTGCTGGTTTTCCTTATTGGAACTCTTGTGCATGTATAGTGAAAAATTAAAGAATAACTTGCTGATTTTTAAAGACTAGAAGCTAACTTGCTACTCGGAACACAAGTTATGTATTGACATATGCAATTTTCCCACCAAGAAATGACCAAGTGCGAACTCAGTTTCTTTCTCAAGTTCTTCTAAAGAGGGAAGCTTAATTAATGTAGAATTAGCACTTCCTTTCGATTCGATACTGACATCATATTACCATAAATAACGGGAATACAACGTTTCAACGCGCAACCAATCTGGCAATAGTATTGGATATCAGTACCAGACTTGGGAACGCAACTGCACAAACACTGCAAATGACATGTAAACTTCTCCGATGGAGCCTTAGGACTTCCGATGAAGCATTGGTTGAAGCACCCTCCCCAGCAGCCATATAGATTAGGGGAAACAACAACACTCGCCACCATCAAGGTCAAGATAACCACCATCAGACCATAAATTCCACCTCGACTACACTCCATAATCATCATCTTTTTCTCTCTACACAAGTTTTTGTTACTTGAAATTGACAATTTGCACTCTAGGGATATGTATAGATCAAATGCACCAACCAATTTGTTGCTGATTAATAAAATGCATTTATGTTATGGTTAGGGTTTTTTGGTTGATTGTACATATGTCAAAGGTATTATAGTTTCAGCCATGGGTAGTTTACTAAATGCCAGTGGTAAATGCTTGCAATAAATAGATTGCTAAAATACGTTACAACCACTAGCTATTAGTTTAGTTAGGTTTCATACATTTTTCTTTATGCAGTCTCTATGTAGTATTTAAATAATATGATATATTTTATTCACTGAGCTCGTCATTCTAGTCAACTCTATCTAAATAAAACATTTTGTCGTTTTCGAATCGAGTGAAATAGTTAAAGTTTTAATTCGATAATAATTAATGGTGAAAGTTTCATGTAATTTAACGCTCCCCCGTATAAACGTGATAAGAGATTGATTTGAAGCTATACCCGAACTTAATATTAACTTGAATTTTGAGGACGCGAGACATGCCCGAGTGTCATGATCTTAATCCTTCCTCTTCATACTAGAGACGTGTTTGAATAAGCTTAAAAAAGAATCAAGTTGTAATTTTTTTTTATTTTCAAACATATTTGGGTAACTTACTTTAATTCTTATTTTTCAAGACAAATACTTATTTTAAAAGTAACTTTTACCTTACTCTTAAATGATAAATCTAACAAAATAAAATGTAAATTCACTTATAAAAAATCCAATCAAATCAAGATCAACTCTATCAGTAAAAGTAAGATAAAAACTATTACCATCTCGATCAAGAACAAAATTCAATGCTAAACAGGCTACCATTTCACTTCAAATAAGACTATTTAAGTAGTGTCTAAACATGACTCTCACGTTTGCACCTTTTTTTTTTAATTCTTATTTTCAAGATCGTAGGAAGTTCTACAACATAAGACAATTATTACATGGAAAATGCACAAGGTTACGAATGGAAACATAGATCAAACTTAATTATACGACGTTAACGTTTTCAAATTTCTTAATACGATGTGACTCGATTAAAACATGAGTATATATATATTAGAAGTTAATAAAAGTTTATGGATCCTATAAAATGTGTGGTGTAAAAGTGAATAAATATTATGATACAACTAAATTTTTTAGCCCAAGTTAGAAGCTGCAAAATTATCGTACAACTAACTCTAGCGAAAGATTGTACAACTCTAGCTAGGGCTAGACGAACCACTAAATATATCTCCAGCTAACCTATTTGCAGCACATTCCTCATGGAGTTATGCTACATGTACTAAGTTGGGTTACAAAGTTGCCTCACAAAATAACATCTGCACCAATCATTTTAAAAATAGATTTTTAAATCATTTGAAATCGACGATTTGGATTTTGATAACACACTTTGTAACCTAACTTTTGTAACTCAACTTTGTACAAATAGCTTTATTGTTCCTCATGATTCTGAAAACAAATACGAACTTAATTTAAGAAATCTGAAATTAATACACCTGAAAGAAAAAAAAAATCACAAAGCTTACAATAAAGCTCAATACCGTTTTTCAAACATTCCTAAAAAGCATATATGCTGGATTAACAGAAGTTAAAAATGTTGGTCTATAGCAGTTCAATATTGTATACCGAACATACCTGGAAAGCCTATATGCTTAATGCCAATACACGCATTGAAACAATCAAAATCTTCATTAAAAACTGTTGTTTGTTAAAGGCAACTCAATGCCAGTACATGTATAGAAACAATCGATCAGACCTTCATCAAGTTAATGAAAAGCATATGATGTAAACTAACACTAATCATGACAAGTACTCGACCAAATAATTCTATTTTCCTGTATATATAATGCTATGCTCAATAAAACAATCTCAATTTCCTTGTTTGATTCCATGAGATGAACTATATTATTGGGGGTGAGTTACTCCTCAATATCAACTCTAAAATTAATGGGTTATTTAAGGATTGGGTTGAAAACTCACAGGTTCAGAAAGGCTAAGAGGTCAACTTAAATGATCGGGACGAAAAACTCAATAGTCCAGAAAGGAAAAGGAAGGTAAAACCATCTATGCAAAGATATGACACAGAAAATTCCACACACCCGTTGCAGGCACAAACAAAACAGAAGTCGCATTTAACTCTCAAAGTATGTAAACCCCAAATCTTGAAAACCAAGTGCCCAAAAAGGCTAGGAAGTATGTACCAACACTGGTATGAAAATGAAAATGTCAAATGATGACTAAGCAAAATAGGGCAAAATATAGTTGTTGCACTCCAGTAACTGCTCGAGCCATCATAGTAGGATCTCACTAGGGATAATTTATTGACAAGGATAGGTGTTGAACAACAACAACAAATCAGAGCCCTTGATCAATTTAACCATTGCCCTTTGAGTTTTCATCAGCAGCTTTGACTACATCTGCTTTCAAGAGAGCAACTGCAGCTTTGTGCATAAATAAATCGGCTTGATAGAACAATCTGTTAGCCTTCTCTCTCTTGAGCTCAGCTATATCATGTAAATGTTGTGCCGCACTAGATGCATCCAGTGGCTCCACCCCAAGATTGTGGGATCCTTCAAAATATTGATGTTTCTGATTTGGCTCCACAGGTAAACCATTTCTGTTCCCTGCTGATCTTTGGCTGTGTGAAGCTATCATTTGCTTATTAAAGGATGAAAATGACTGGATCTTCTTCGTCTTTGTCTTGAAAGTTTTAGGACGAAAATCCCACTCAACCATGTCGTTGCTCAATGAGAAACGTCCAAGTCTACCAGCCTCTCGTCGAGGCAGTACCCTTTTTGTAGTCTGGGGTGACGACAAAGCATTAATAGACTCAGCAACATTGTGCGGAGACTCAACCTTGTTATCCCCAAGAGCCACACTATTTGATCTTCTCCCTGCCAACAGTTAATAAGGTAAAAATCAACTAATAGAAGTTACGAGAAACAAAGAAATTAACTTATAAAAGAACAGGTTCAAGAGGTCAGGTGAAAAGGTGTCATTCAGATAATTGAGATTTTACATAGAAAAGAACAGAATTTCACCAATAGCAGGCTTACCTGAGGAGATAATATGATTGTATCCAGAAACTGAAAATTTCCTCTTTGACCGTTGTTTTGAACGCTTTTTGGGAACGTCTAGACCTCTTGGCTTTAGACAGAAAGCAAACATTGGTGGTTTCTCTGGAGGGGATGCCTTCTCTGGGTTACCAACTAATACGGCATTGCTACCTCTGGCGACAGCAAGTTCCCACTCTTTCAGCTCCTTTTGATATCTCTCCCAAAGAGGGGGCTGATAAATAAAACATATTGAGAAATTTTATTCAGCAACAATGAACATTGCATAGAAAAGAGAACAAGCAATCATCTCTAAATGGACGACGATAAGAATTGAATATACGTATGTGTAATACTGATGCAGGGTCGATGACTGAGGGCAGCAACTTATGCACGAAATGAGGGACAGAAAATAATACTTAATTAAAACAAAAGGATCATAAAGATTGAAAGCCTAGTAATAACACTCTAGCGCAAAATACTAACACATGGAGGAATTCCACTTGTTTTAAAATATTCATTCCAACATCTAAAATTGTAAGTCTACGTCCTCACGCATCCAATAGCAGCCCAACATGTCTGGCAGCCTCTTCCAATCTTGAGCTAGGCTTCTGAAAACATTATTTAATTATTTTTAAGCTCATATCCTATTAACCACCTCTTAGACTTTTGGTGACATTCATCAACTGAATCCATTAGTTGTATTTATACAGCTTGACTCCTCAAAAATGACTTTGTGGGTCTTAGAATAGAAGTATGTCCAATATTCCTGGAATGGACGAGTTTCTAAGAGAAGGTGAATGTTTGAGACGGTTTAGAGAATAAAGTTCATGAAACGAGCCTCAATAAAAAGTAAACTACGCCTCAATAAAAAGTAAACTACTTGGCTCGAAACAGATTTACCAAATAGATGCTCAGTCATCAAAATGTACCCAACACAATAATATTTGAAATTACATAGATACAAATAAAGAATGTGCATCATCATGCTGAATAATACTAGAAAGTTTTCAATAGTATGTTCGCTTTTCTTCTTTTTCTACGAGTGTATATAATGACCATATAGATACGCCATATTTCTACTTTCCCTTGGGCATGGAAGCCTATTATAAGCATCTAGAAAAGTAATGATCGACTCCCCAGGATGAAGGAAACAATGTATGCTCTAGAATCTTGTAGAACATCCAAATACTGATCATAAGTATCTGCTATAAGGGTTAAATTGAACGTTTAGACCCCAAACATTTGCAGTTCAAGCAAACTCATCCCCGAAGGATCTAAATGCATAGTACCTGGAGTTGTCGCACTAAAGGCATGCCTTTTCTCTCCCTCTTTTGTCGCCAGTGCTCATAAATGACTATAGTTACTTCCACGGACCCTATGCCAACCATTAGGTCCTCAATTTCATCAAGTGTGAAGTGTGAACGATGTTCAGCATATGAAAATTTCTCTAGCATATCCATCATCTTCTCAAATGATTCATCAGATATATCTTCGAAACTATTCTCATCAGGGCAAGAAGATGATTTTTTGGACATCAACCACTGTTCGTCTTCGCTATCTATATCGTATAAGATATGTGAGTGATCCATTGCCATTTCCAAGTCAGTTTGAGCCTGGTGGAAGTACTTTGAAGAATTCTGAACAAATGGGACTTCAGTTGCATAATCGTCGATTTCCTCAATCAGCCGGACTCCAGGGACAGGAATGTTTTTAACAGAAGCAGAACGAATATTCCTGTTGTGGCACTCTTCATGCAACTCTTTGAAAAGCATCCACTGGCTTTTATCCGAAAACTCCAGTAGCCAGTCCTTTCCCCCTTTCCACATCATAGCATGTGTGTAGGGGTGACTTGACCTGGCTTTCCAATTATGTTGAACTTTATATGAATACCTCGTAACGCCAGAGAGTTTAACAGCCAGTCTCCATTCATTATGATCTGCAAGTTCTAAGACAATATGTGCCCCACGTTCTCTCCATCTTTTGTCCCCAACGATGACTATCAGGTTTGCACCACATGCTTGCAACTCGAAATTCCTTTGGGAACTCCAGGGACAGTCAGATACACTCTTCTCACTAGCTTTCCTGATACGTCTGCTAGGTAGAGTTCTCTGGTTATTGGTTCTATGTTTTTCATCATAACCTGCAAAAGGCAGTACGTTTTGAACCTGATTTGGTGGCTTCTTCAGTCCACAGCCCAAGTCATTGCGCATAGATTTAGTCTTCCCATAGGAACGTACAGGCGAGAGATTTCCAAAAGGAGAAGAACTTGAGCTGTATCTACCATGATGCCAAGAACTTCTAGGGAGAGAAGGGTTGGGGCTGTGAACAAAGCCATCACTCATACTCCAACCAAGGTCAGAGCACTCTCTGGAATTATGTCTTCTCCCATCGTAAGGCATGTCAACTTGATCAAAAGGTGCAATTTCAACACTCATGACACCAAAACTAGAATCACAACTTGGATTGGAGCTTGCACAGGTGATGGAATTGGATTTACATACAGTAACTTGACTGCTAGTTGGCTTACCATTCTGAAGATCCTGCAATGACACAAATTTATAAGCAAAATTGCCAGCTGAGACAATATTTGTGTCACTAGACAATAATCCATATGAAGGAGCTTCTGTCACCACTGTTCCGAAGTTGCGTTCTGCATGTATATCTTGAATACTAACTGAGCGGGATGCAACTTGCATATGATCCTCTACAATTTGTTGAGTGCCATCTTCTGGGTTTCCTAATGAGCACAAGATGTCATAATCCCAAGGTTAGTGCAGGCAAAGTTGTGCTCTATGAGCATCTTAAGATGGAGACTAAGAAAGAAAGTTGGTGCAGTACCAAACGGAAGAGCAAATTGAGGAAGCCTTCCATGTTGTACAGCCTGCCAGAAAATAGATTGTCCCATCCTCTTGCAGGATTCTCTGGAAACACCCATAGACACAATGCCGCTGATATAATCCTTCTTCAAACCCTGACCCATGACAGGGAAAAAGAAAAGAAAAGGAAAGCCAATGAGAGACAGAACTTAGTGACAAAGTTAACTATATAGTACGTCTAGATATGAACAAGCATAACACACAAGTACCCTAAGCATCACCATCAAAACCACCACTCTTAGGCCAAAAAAAAAAAGCAAAAAAACAGAAAAAGTGCAGGAGTTCTCTTGCTGGAACCGTTATTTCGTTAACCTGACAACTGTGACCTAGGATGACAAGGAGCAAGAACACAAGGTAAAGAACAATAAAATAAATGTGACACTAGTTGAACAGCATTCATTAAAGACTAATAAAAACAGCAGACCACCAGTAGAGCATAATTTGATTAACAATATGAAGCACTTCAATTTATATAAGAAACAAATTAAGAAAAAAAGTTACCTCAACCGAGGAATTGTCCAAACCAACACAAGGTTTGCTCAGCTGGAAGCTTCCACATTCAAGTGCCTTAATATTACTATATGTGCATTCATAGACAGGTAGTTGCTTAATGAGCAGACAACGCCGCAGCAGCTTAGAGTCTAGGTAGAGCCACTCAGAATTTTTCAGTTTAGAGAAACTGTTAAATTCAATCACTTGCCGCTTTTTTATATCTTGAACACTAGAAACTCTGACGCCTATAGAGGTTACAGGTAATTCTGCATCATCATTCCAACTTTCATTAGGTTGATTGAACACTGTCAGGATGAGGGAGACAAAGACTACAGCCTGCTTCAGGCAGCCTTGGAACAAGAAAAACCTCAACCCGAAAACATTATCAACAAAGAGCATCTCCAAAATTACAGCAGGTGACGTAGTCACCATTACTCCATGTTGTAGAATCAATACAGAGTGAGACAATCGAAGATCCCATGTTCCAATTGAATACTCAAGGGAAGGAATTGCAGATAAGCATATCAATCGTTTCGTTCCTAACACTGCGTCACTCAGTCTTTGCTTACCTTCATCATGAATCAGCCGCAATAAGAATCTCTCACCTTGATTGTTGGAACGCCTCCTGACATACACTCTAGTTTGGGAGCTACTAGGAGATGCCACTAGAGAATCATCAAGCCTTCCACCAACAACTAAACCTTCATCATAAATCGGCTGCGATACGAATCTCTCATCTTGCTTGTAGGAACGCCTCCTCACATACACTCTTATTTGGGAGCTAGTAGGAGCTGCCACTAGAGAATCATTAAGCCTTCCACCAACAATTGAACTATCTGGTACTCCAGAATCATAATCCAGCTTACTTCTACCTCTTTCCGAGAAACCAGCATCTTTATTTGCATTATCAGTTTTATCAGACAAAGATGGGGAGACCATGGGGAGAAGCACTCGCATAGTTTTCTGTTTTTTCAAAGGATTAGGCAAAGATTTCGCACGAGCAGAACGAGCCAAATATGATATAATGGGCTCCGTGTCCCCCATGATGTCTACAGAGCTATCATCATCTATAAGAAGATCGGCTTTTCTTTTATGTGCAGATTTGTCACCAGTAGATGATTTTTTAGGTTTTCCCTTGCCAGGAACCTCGCTGCGGAGAAGCAAAAGTTTAAATTTCTCTTTTTGAAGATCAATCCATTCCTCAAATCCGTCATCATACTTCACAAAATGAAGTCTTCGTACTGGGTTATAGTTATTCACAACGCCAGGATGCCAATCCTCATCCAAAGGCCTGAGAACTTTAATCTTACGTTTCAAAACCCAGTAGGCATCCAATCCCTTGGGAAGAATTTCATAAAAATGGCGGCGTTTCCTCAAATTTTTCTTCCCTTTGTGGTCTTTCTTTTGTCCAAGCACTCCGCTCTCAGGATTAGCTGACGCAGACTCCAAGTGAGTAGATGAGTTAGATTTTTGATTAAACAAATCCCTGGCAGAGTAGTCCACAGAAGAGAACCCATTAGTGGACTGTGACACAATAGGTTTCTTATTGGAAGGGCACCCAGTGCAACTTGGATCAAATCGCGATGAGAGCATCATCGCAGCATTCTGTTCAAGGCTCTCTTCATCATAATCATTATCCTCTTTGAAATCAATAAAGATGCTGCCTGAGACTGAACTAACAGCTGAAGGCTCAGCCCTTTTTGTATTAGATCCACTGCCACCGCCACGAGCAGCCAAATTCTTCCTCTTCCTATTATTGGTCTGTTGCATTTTTGAAGATGTATCAACATTATTTACAATGAATAGATCATTTTCTTGATTAGCATGCTGAGCTGAACTCGCACCACCGTTCCTACTTCTCTTAACTTTATCAAAGACTGTTTTCTGCTTTCCTTTTGAACTATCAACCTTATATGCAGAACTTTTAACTAAATTAACTAATTGGTCATCCAGATTGCCATCATCCTTGACTTTCTTAACTTTATCTTTAATTTTTACAACCGGACCAACAAAATCAGAAAGTCCTGACAGCTTGAAAACCGAATCGCTTCTAAACTTCTTCGGCCCCGTCGAACTCCTTGGATGCTTTGGGAATCTAAAAACGTATTCATTTTCACGTGAAGTACGAGACAATCCGTCAAACTTCTTACTGCCACTTGTCAATTTTCCACTTGATCCCGACCCCACTTTCACGCTAATACCGCAATCTTCCGTACTCTTTTTAGCCTCAGACTTACTGTCAGTAGTCAATCTTCCAATTGATCCCGATCCCAAATCAACAGAATTAGAAACTTCTGACAGCTTGGAAAACCGATCGCTTTTAAACTTCGGCCCCACTGAACTCTGCGGATGCTTCGGGAAACTAAAAACATTCTCATTTTCACGCGGAGTAAGAGACAAGCCGTCAAACTCCGTACTGCCACTTGTTAATTTTCCACGTGATCCTGACCCCACTGTCAAGCTATCACCGCAATGTTCTGTACTCTTTTTAGCCTCAAACTCACTGTCAGTTGTCGTTTTTCCACTTGATCCTGATCCCACCATCACCCTATTACCACAATCTTTCCTGCTCTTCTTAGCTTCCGACTCAAAACTACTCAGAGATGAGCTTTTTCTATTCTTCCTGTTCTTTTTCTTCTTTCCATCTTGAAGGTCACACACTTTGGAAGTCTTTGCTCCATTTTGTTCCTCTTCAGAGTTCCTAGAATTGGACAGCCTTTGAAGATCAAAAGATCTTTTTTTCTCAGGAAATTTTACAGAACCAGACTTTTCTACAATCTTTTCCATCACACACTCTCAATCCAATCTCCCTAAAACGCTAACCTCAAATTTCAATTCCCACCAAAATCTGTAACCAAAACACCACATAAAAGAAATCAATTAACATCCAAACAAAACTTGCAATTTCAATAATAAAACCTAAAAACTTCAAAACATTGAAAACAAACCCATTTCCATAAATAAAAATCGATTAAATCACACAAACTAACAACACAACGTACAAAAATCAGTATCTGTACATGAAAATTACATATGTATATATTACCTCTCCGGGCCCTCCTCTGAATTAACGAAAAAGTGGAGATCATGCATGAAAAGGGTTTGATTTTCGAGAATTCAAATAGCCTCTGTTTGAAACCCTAACCCAAATATGATTTACCTAAAATTTCAAATGAATTTTTCCATCACAATTTTCATCATTTCATTTTTCCAGATAGAAAGCTACTAGGGTTTATATTTTCTGAGCTACAGTAAAGAATTTTATGGCGATAATTTCTAAAAAATATGGTGACGCCACGTTGAGAAATCTAGACCGTGAAAGGGAATTTGACGGTGAGGATTGGGGTTGGGTAGTTGAAGTGCTGGCAGTATGAAATAAAACGAGAACAACTTTGGTTAAAGCGAACGGCTATGATTTGATGAGCGAAAATGGATGGTGAGATATCAGCATTTTGGTAGCTGAAATGTTCGATAATTAAAAATTCACAAAAGCGTGTAAATTGGCCCTAGGCTTTAGGAAATTTACTGGAGTGCCATATGAAGTGGTGACGCGTTACAAAGTAGTAGGGCGTGTTACATTGCCCTTGTTTTGGATCCTTCAAATTTTAATGCATTTTTTTTTTCAATCATTTTAATAAAATATTATTTCACGTAAATTTAAAATTTTTATTATATTTTAGCCACACATTCTCCAAAAATTCATTATTCCAAAATATATTTTCCCTAAAGAAGGCATTATGTCACGTTAAATAGAGTGAATGAATAAGTAACTTATTAGTAGTGGAAATTACACCAAACCAGATTTTTTAAGATTGAACTTCAAAAATCATATCTAAATCAATTCAAACCCTAAATCATTTTATCTCATTTCCTCTCCATTCTCCAGTCTCACTTCTCTCCTCTCTTCGCCTCTCATCTCTCTCTACGTTCTCCCTTGGACCTTCGTAGCTGCCGAGTGTGTCCGCCCTCAATGCCACCTCCGGTCGCTGCCGTGAAGTTACGCTTTGATGTGAGTGCTGCGTCGACATCGTCGCTACAACGCTGCCCGGTGTGAGCGCCTCCCAGCATTTGATGGAGTTGGAGGTGGAGTAAGGTATGGTTTTGGTGTTAGCGGAGTTGGATTCGTGTTTTGGGTATGTGGTTTGGATCTATGTTTTCGAATCTGTGGTTGTTATTGTTGCCGGCGGTGCAATATGGTGGTGGCGCGATTGCGATTGCGGTGGTGACGATCACAGTGAGTTGTTGGGGCAGGTGGTGGGTGATCCTTCCTAGGCGGTGATTGGACGATCTATGGTGTATGTGTGTTGTTTTGTGTGTATGGAAACGATTGTGTGGTGGTACAATTAAAGTGGTGGAGGCGATGGTGAAGTAGTGGTGGTACTTGATGGTGGTTTTGGTTTGTTTGAGATGGTGGTGGTGTTGGCGGTTGTCATGAGGTGGTGGTTCTAGCGACGGCGGTGCAGCAGCTAGATGGTGTTGGTGCTGCTAGTAGATGTTGGTGGCGATGGGTATGTCGAGGTGGTGGTGGTGGATCGGCACGACGATGTGGTGGTATTTTTCTGCGATGTGTTGATTTGTTTGAGATGTGTTGCTATCGAGAGGTGGTGGTGGTGGTGGCGGCGGCGGCGGCGGTGTTGTTAGAGAGAGTGGTGATGTGGTAGTCACAGGTGTTGGTCGTGGTCACAAATTATTTGGTTAATTGTAATAATTAAATTGGTTAATCTGTGACTAATAAACATTATGTGAGCAATGAAAAAGATAAATTGTGATCAAGAAATAATGTGTGACCTAAAAAATTGTTAATTTGTCACCGATAATTTGAAAATGTGTGACTGTCTGATAAGGAAGGAAACTTCCTAATTATGAAGATAGATTTTTGTTTAGCGGGGATCTATTTTGTGTGAAATTGCTTCAATATGTTCTCCTCAACAGAGCTTAGCGACATGCACGATTAAATGATAAGATATCATATTGATTCTAAAATCATGATTGGTACAAATTCTTTAAAAGTTATATTTCTTTAAATTCAATTTCGATCGTATATTATCTCCATAAAATATTTTTTCACGTAAATTCGTAATTTTTTCTTAATTTTTAAACAAACATTTATTATAAAATATTTTTTCACATATTTTTTTCACAAAAATTCTACATTAAACGGATGCCCTGAGAGAAGAGGAAATTCTACATTGAAGGGACGCAACTTTTTTCTAATTTTTCACCACGTAATTTTTTGATAATAAATTTTGTGAGAAAGAGGAAAGTAGTGACGAACAAAGAAAGAAGTTGGGTAAATAACTTAGTTTACAAGTATTTTATTATTGTCATATTTAAGTCAACTAACTTTGAGATGGCTTACTGGTATTTTTTTATTGTCACGTTTAAGTGAACTAGTTAAAGTTGAACGTGTATTGTACGTTATTGTAAAATACTTTACAAGCGATGTGAAAACAATATTTGATATCAATTTGTTGGGAGGATTTGATTAATCTCCAAAGAATTAAAGAAAATAAAATTTAGAATAAAAATTTAAGAAAAGAAAATTGTACTATCAAAATTCAACTTCTACGATTCAAATTTTTTTGTGATGATGAAATACTACAAATAAACAATATTTTTATACTATATTTGGTACATAAGAATTAATTGATAATACATGAATTTAAGCACTCATTAAAATTTCTAGCTACGTGAATAGAAATAAATTCATCTATAATAATTCTAGATTTATGTAGATCAATATTCATCAAGTCAAGATTCGTCGAGTCTATATTAATTTGAATATTAATTAATTGAGAATTAATAACACAAAATTCATACATAAAAATGATTTTATAATATTTATTACATATTGAAAAACGAAAGTGTAATGCTATTTAGTTTCACTGTGGTTGCAACCTCAGTTTAGATGACGTCAATGTGACATTAAATTATAAGTGGAATTAAATGACTTATTTAATTTTACATTTTATTTAGCATATCATTTAATGTCATCTAAATTAGGGCTGTAACCCTAGTGATGTTACATAGCATTATTCAAAACGAAAAGTAAAGTACTATTGAAATAATTGAATTGCAGTGAAGTTAAAGAAAGTGAAAGATAAGTGACGAGAGATATTGTCTATACATTAAAGAATGATATATTGACATTCCAAAATTACAATAAAAGAATATAAAATCGAAAAGGGAAAATTGTTTGAATTAAAACTTAAAAAGATTGTTATTTGAAGAACTATACATTTATCCAACTTTGAGAAAAAATATTGGAGTGATATAAAATCTTTTGAAACGGTGACGCACCAAAAAAGGAAGTTAATTGAATAAATTGATTTAATTGCATATTTTTATTGCCACCTTTAAATCAATTGACTTTTGTGTTGAGCGATTTCCTATTAGATGCATTGTATGCACATTAAAGGGAAGATTATTGCCACCTTTAAAGTTTTATTATGCTTTACCTTGATGAGTTTTATTAGATCCAAAACATATTACTATCCACAATTCGTCCATATCAAAACATTTCATTGAATCCACTATTTTTTTCACTATGTGAAATTTATGTAAATGTAGGAAATGATTTATATAAGTAATATGACTGCAATTTAGTATTGATTCAACATCTCAATATAGCATTTTTACAACGAATAATGATATTTATCATCATGATGATAGAATATCGGTGATATGACAGTTTATGTAAAATAATGAGATTGAGTAGTTCAATTTTTATGAGAGGAGAAAGAGAGAGAAATGTGAAAAATAATGGGTTGACACATCACCGATATTTTACCATCATGATGATAAATATCATTACTCTTTTACAAGACATAAAAATCTAAAAAAACGGACAATACGTGTTCACTACGACTATCCTTTTAAACACGCAAACCAACACGAACAACATTTAGAGCATGTTTGGTACAGATTTTAATTTTCTACAGTAAATCAATTCTCATTTTCAACCACACATTTTTCAATAAAATAATATTTTCCATCACATCAATACTTTTTCCTTCTTTTTCAACCACATATTTCCCATCATATCACTATTCAATCAACCACACATTCTTCAATAAAATAATATTTTCCATCACATCAATCATTTTTCCTTCTTTTTCAACCACACATTTTCCATCATATCACTATTCAAAAATCAATTCTTCCTCCAAAAATCCCTACCAAACACACTCTTATTGCCTTTACAAACAACAACTACGATTTTGACGATTTTATTGCCTTTAAATGTTTATTGCTTCTACGAACAACATGTGAACCAACACGAATCACTAAGACTTTCGGTTGACTTTAAGAGAGATGTTAAGTGGTGTGATGGTTTTGCCTCATAATTTTAGCATGTTTGACTAAATTTAAAATCCAATTAAATTTGAAAATATAGTCATTATTGGATCTCACTCGTCTAATAAAAGTCAACAATAGCGGCTAATTTTTCAACTTTAATCCGATTTTAATCTCTACCGAACACGCCCTCATATGAAATGTTAAAACCCACACCAATGATTTCAATCACTTGAAGACTATTTACATATTTAAATATGTTGATGATATAAAAAAAATCTTATTTTAAAGGTTGGAGATTCAAAACCACATCATTTATATTGTTAGATCGCCCAACACTAAGCATTCATTTGGAAAGAATTTAAAAATTATTTAATTTAACAATAGACAAAAGTTATTGGTCGATAAATGGATAGTGTTTGTGGATCCATTAAACTGTTTTGTTGAAAATGAAGTTTGAACATTTACAAATTGATTGTAACGTTAGCCAAACGAAGACTAATTTTCCTAAAAATAATGGTGCAAGTGTAATTTCACAAAATACAATATTCAAGACTGAACATGTGAAACGAGATCGAATCAAGTACCATATGCTAATCATAAATATAACCTTTCTATAGGCTCATGAGGTACGTTGGAATTAGATACAAAATATATTTAGTAGATTTTAATAAAATTAGAAAAAACATGTTAATAAAAATTTGTGATCTTATGAAAAAATGAGTTTTAAAGAATTTGTATCAAAGAGGACTTGGCTTTTCCTCAATGAAATGAAAATTAAATTCACGTAACATTAGAAATATTTTCCATTTCTTAACCCAAAAAATATGTGGCCATGAATGGGAAGTAGAACATAATTGACTGAAAGGTAGAGTCGTGGAAATGCTTCTTACTTCCATATTCTCAATTCCATGGAACGATATGTTAGTGCTGAAACACAGAAGAATCAAAATCTTATATCAAAACACTGTGTATGGATGATACGAATTATCCAAAGAAGAATTCTTGAACGGTGAACAACCAATTATAATTTTTTTCGTAACTTTTAACAACACAGTTTAAAAAAAAAAAAAAACACTTTCCAAAATTTTCAGAAAAGACGTTCTTACTTATCTATTTATGCTAATAGTTAAATCTTCAAGACAAAGTTAGAGCTTATTTGGGAGAGATTTTTGGGGGAAGAATTGATTTTGAATAGTGATATGATGGGAAATGTGTGGTTGAAAATGAGAATTGATTTACTGTAGAAAAATTTAATCCCTCCCAAACAGGGCTTTAATATAATTGAGCCTATGTTTGTCTATCATTCTCCATTTTTTTCTTTCTAAAATTCATTTTCAATCATATATTTTTAAAATAAAATATTTTGCACGGGAACCAAATTTTGTTTGTAATTTTTAACCGTATATTATTCAAAAATTACAATTTTTTTTTAAAAAAAAAACACTTTCCAAAATCTATTCTAAAAAATCTGCATCAAATAGTCTAAAATTTAATATAATTGAGCCTCTGTTTGTCTATCATTCTCCATTTTTTTTTTCTAAAATTCATTTTCAATCATATATTTTTAAAATAAAATATTTTGCACGAGAACCAAATTTTGTTTGTAATTTTTAACCGTATATTATGCAAAAATTTACCATCCTAAAATTCATTTTTCTTAAAATACTCTTTTTAGTAGACATCAAATGGGGGCTAAAGCACCAATTCAGTCCGGTTCACCTTCACCCACGAGCTGAATTTGTATAAACACCAACAAAATTATAAGGTACAAAACCACTCCACTACTGAACAGACCACAGTATGAACGTTATCTTTATAGTAGACCTCTTTCATTAGAGTATTCCAATTTCCAACTCAATCGCTCAGCTTTCATTCTGATAATATACACATTTATACGCTCAGAAACCTTTTTTTTTTCCCGCATTATTGCCTGGCGACTCATTCTGAAAATCCTCTCTCTCTCAAGAAACCCTAGTTTTCTCGTAATTCTTGCAGTGTTCATCGATTCATAATTCGTCGATCAATCGTAAAAAAATATTTTTTTGAATAATTGGGTGTTATTGATATTTTTTATTCGTTCCGCATAAGATTAAGTTACATAGAAAATGGGTTCTGAATCGATTTAGTGGGATTTTTTTTTTTTTTTGGTCTTCCGTGCGTTGATTTGTCCTTTCTCTTGTCGCTCTTTTGGATTTTTAAGTATTTGGAATTCCGGGAATACGACTCGGATAGATAAGTTAGAGAAATTTTACTATTTAATTGAAAATTTGTCAATTTCCTTGCCCCAGTTGAAAAATTAGAAAATGGTTGGAGGTGGGAATCGGAGGGATGAGGGATCTTTTAAGATGACAAATAATAATGTTTTTGCGGCGCTTGACAATTCGAGGAAGAAGAAGAAGTCAGATAAGGATAAGGGCTCGGGGAAGAGCAGTAAGAGCGCTTTGAAAACTGGGGCTGGGAAATCGAAAGAACCTGAAGAGAAGCCACAGGTTTACTGGTCTCCTGCTCCTTTGACCGTGAAGTCATGGGCTGATGTGGACGATGAAGATGACGATGATTACTTTGCCACCACTGCCCCACCCAAGTCTGTATGGGGAGGTTCGGGTTTGAATCAAACTGAAGAAACTACGCAACCAGATCCCACGGAGGTAAATATATAGACTGACGTTTATATTATTTGTTTTTTAATTATTGATTCAGATTTGTCCAATTTTTATAGCTGGTGGATACTTGTTCTAAACAAATCCGATTATGTTTGTTTTTCATCGTATGTTGCTTTGTTGTATACGTGTTTGTTCATGCTAGGAGCTATGATTGGTATTGCTGTGTTACCCTTTTGTACTTGTGTTTCCTTTGTTGCATAGTCAATGAAACTTATGCAGTTTATTTATACTAAAGATAATATATTATGCACAATAGTCAATAGGAATGTTTATTGGTTAATCATGTTGTGATTTCATAGATTGTTATACGCGGTCATCCGGTGGTGGGGGTGGTGATGGTGGTGGTGTTGTGCACCCCATGACTTGTAAAAATATCGTGGATGTATAGAAAAATCAAGAAACGTTTTTGACGTGGAAAAAAGGTCGCCTGTATACTCTCTTTCATGTTTTATAAAGAGACAAGATCACATCTTTTTATTGGGAAAAAAAATTTAAATAAAGGGGGATTAGGAATGTTTATTGGTTAATCATGTTGTGATTTCATAGATTGTTATACGTGGTCATCCAGTGGTGGTGTTGTTGTGCACCCGATGACTTGTAAAAATATCGTGGATGTATAGAAAAATCAAGAAACGTTTTTGACGTGGAAAAAAGGTCGCCTGTATACTCTCTTTCATGTTTTATAAAGAGACAAGATCACATCTTTTTATTGGGAAAAAAAATTTAAATAAAGGGGGATTAGGAATGTTTATTGGTTAATCATGTTGCGATTTCATAGATTGTTATACGTGGTCATCCAGTGGTGGTGTTGTTGTGCACCCGATGACTTGTAAAAATATCGTGGATGTATAGAAAAATCAAGAAACGTTTTTGACGTGGAAAAAAGGTCGCCTGTATACTCTCTTTCATGTTTTATAAAGAGACAAGATCACATCTTTTTATTGGGAAAAAAAATTTAAATAAAGGGGGATTAGGAATGTTTATTGGTTAATCATGTTGCGATTTCATAGATTGTTATACGTGGTCATCCAGTGGTGGTGTTGTTGTGCACCCGATGACTTGTAAAAATATCGTGGATGTATAGAAAAATCAAGAAACGTTTTTGACGTGGAAAAAAGGTCGCCTGTATACTCTCTTTCATGTTTTATAAAGAGACAAGATCACATCTTTTTATTGGGAAAAAAAATTTAAATAAAGGGGGATTAGGAATGTTTATTGGTTAATCATGTTGCGATTTCATAGATTGTTATACGTGGTCATCCAGTGGTGGTGTTGTTGTGCACCCGATGACTTGTAAAAATATCGTGGATGTATAGAAAAATCAAGAAACGTTTTTGACGTGGAAAAAAGGTCGCCTGTATACTCTCTTTCATGTTTTATAAAGAGACAAGATCACATCTTTTTATTGGGAAAAAAAATAATTAACTGAAGGAGGATTAGGAATGTTTATTGGTTAATCATGTTGTGATTTCATAGATTGTCATACGTGGTGATCCGGTGGTGGTGGTGGTGGTGGTGTTGTTGTGCACCCGATGACTTGTAAATATATCATGGATGTATAGAAAAATCAAGAAACGCTTTTGACGTGCTCTTTCATGTTTTATAAAGAGACAAGACCACATCTTTTTATTGGGAAAAAAAATAATTAAATAAAGGAGGAATGGTGATTCTCACTGTTTTGTACTGTGGCAAGTAATTTATACCTTCAATCATGATACATCCGATACTTCTAGGCTGTCCAGTTGATTAAGCTGTAAGCTACCGAAATGATAGTAACTGTCCTTTTTTCATTGGATTTTATATCCCCTGTCCATGATTAGCAGCCATGTTTTGACCTATAAATTTATCTAGTGTTCTGGGGGTGTTTGATGCAGTTTTTGGAAATAGCTCTTTCTTATAAAGTGTAAGTAAGCAGTTAGTTTATTTTTTGGCTGACATGTCTAAACAGGAAGGCAATTTTATTGGCTGAAAGAATGAGACTTTTTCTTTAATTGTACCGTATGCCCTTCAAAAAGAAGTTATTTGCAATTCAATATTTTTGGCAAGTAGAATCAAATCGTTTCTTTAAATGGCTAATATACCATTTGAAATGCCTTTTGAAGCTAATAAGATATTCAGTATTTTAGATTGCTGAAGAAGAATGCATTGAGAAATAAATGGTTAGTGTAGCATTTGTAACCTTCCTTTCAGAATCCTCAGTTACTAACTCCACACCCGAGATTTCTCGACTCCAAGCCTTTTTCTTCTCTCTCTCTGCGTGTGTCTGTTTTCTTCATTCGTCTTTATTAACGATGCTAAGTAAAGAGATCATAGATGAGACGCTGAATTTGCAGCTGCTATCGTCTATCTTTCTCAAGTTTTATCATTTTTTTATTTAAACGATTTGAATTCATGCCTCACTTCCACTTCTTTAATCATAGCATTCGATCTCCTCAACCAGTTTTGTCACTTGCAACAATATTTTCCTCTGCCATCACTGTCACGCCTAACCAAACTTTGTCAATCTTTTTTTGCCACGATGTCATTTCATTGCTAAATCTGCTAGAAGATCTAAAGCAACTAGTACAAAAAACCGTGTTAATTGGTTTACCCCTGCCTCTTCTAACATGTTTTACGGAGATTGCCTCACTCTTGTGTACAACAACAGAGCCAAGCATTGTGTTATCGTTTTTTATACCTAGTAGATATGCCCTTCATCCTAATGCCAGAATCCTTTCCTCTGGTAAGATGAAATCCCAGAAGATGACATCATTTGCCAATCAGAGATCCATGGTTTTCAATGAAGTGCCTAGCTAGATTTCTGGTCATATATGGAATTTTAAAGTGATGAATGTGATTAAGATTAATTATGTAACTTAATATGATTATCTGTTGGAATTGCAGGAAATTGAAAGTGAAGATGATCTTCTTGATGAAGCTGATGATGTGGAGGAGGAAGAGGAGCATGAACACGAATCACAAGTGCAGGAAAAGCCCGAGCTAGTACCAATAAAACCTCCAGTAGCTTCACCAGCACCTAAAGAGACAGAAAGGCAGCTATCCAAGAAGGAGAGAAAGAAAAAAGAGATGGCCGAACTGGAGGCAATTTTAGCTAATTTTGGTGTTACCCCAACCGAGAAAGCCTTAGATGAATCGTATGGTAATTGTGTATCTCCTTGTCTTCACGAAAATCATTTATTTCTCTTTTGCTAGAGAACATCTTTATTTTAGGATTTCTTCATCATAAATATGCTTTTTGATTATTATTATTTGACATCTCTGAGGTTCTTGTACATGTTAGTTAATATCATTTTTTGTTGCTGTCTTCATGTCTGGTCCTTGTGGTTTGATTTCATTGTTTTCTGGGGTAATTTTACATCTTGTTGAGACATCAGTGTGGACTCTCATGAATCCATTCTGTCTATTGGTCCATAGTAAAAATCGCAGTTATTGGTGAGACTATTGTGTGGAGAATATGATGAACTTTCTGGCTAAACCTCACTTCTTTACAAACTTGCAGATGCTACAAAAGAAAAGAAATTGGGACAGTTGAATGGAGAAGCAGAGAAGAAAGATAGCGACCCTGCAGAATCCAAAAGCACAAAGAAGAAGAAAAAGAAGGATAAAGCTTCAAAAGAGGTGAAGGAACTGCAGGAGCAACCTGGCAGCTCTCATGTTCCTAATGGACAAGAGGAAAGTGCTGGAACCGAACAGGTGGAAGATGATGCATCAGCTGTTGACAAGAAAGAGCTGCTAAAGAGAATGGCTTCCGCAAAGAAGAAGAAATCCAGTAAAGAAATGGATGCTGCTGCCAGGGCTGCTTCTGTGGAGGCTGCCACAAGGAACGCAAAACTTGCTGCTGCTAAGAAGAAAGAGAAGAACCATTACAACCAACAGCCAGCACGTTAGGGGGCAGTTTTTCATTGTTTATTTGCCGTGCAAAATAATCTTTGCGCTCCTCTTGTTTCGTAATAGATGGACATGCTAATACAATTTTGCTCATTGAGTATTTCCTTTTTTCTATTGCATAATTTTAACTCCGGATATGGGGTTTGTGTTATAATTTTACATTTTTTTTTTGGTCGAATTTTGTTATGACTAATTCATAGTACTTACTTGGACGTCATACTTTTTATCGGGGTGCTTTAAGGCACCTGCATGTTAATTGAGCTTTCCTGTTAACTTTGCATTTATAATCCTCACTGGAGGAAAATTCAATGTCTTCCTGTCCGATTGTGAAGGAGTTCAAAAGTGTGGACCCTTCAAATTTCTCTGAATCTATGCTGCAGTAATCTTTTATATTCTTGTTGTTTCAAGATGAATGATTTGACTTGACACGAGTAGATTTTAAGTGTGATATCTTTAGTTTTTTGCCCATGAAAGAGAAGTGAAAGGAATATAAAGCTTTTTTGAAGGGTAATTTTGGCAGCTGTATTGGTGTTGGAGTAGGTTTAACAATGTGTACAATGATTTGGACAACATTGTTGGTTTAGAAACAATTCATCATTTCAATCAATAATTTTTTTGCCACAACGAATATTGTCAATAATGTTGTACAAAAATATTGTACAAATAGCAGACTTCTTGTTAAAATTGGAAGAGAAGAGTAAACTAGCATCCATGTGTGTGTGTGTCTATATATATATATACATATATATATTCACAACAAATATTGTCAATAATGTTGTACAAAAATATTGTACAAATAACAGACTTCTTGGTAAAATTGGAAGAGAAGTGTAAGCAGTGTGTGTGTGTGTGTATTATTTTATAAAAGGTAATCAATTTTTGTTTATGTTAGAAAATATGGGTCATAAGTCGTCCATGTGGGTTGACCTGACTCACAAGTTATTAAAGTGAATTGGAGGGAGTGGTTTGAATGAAATTCAAATTCATAACTTCTCTCAACTCCTACCAACTTTCAAACTTTTACATAACTCACATAATTTTGTCTCGCACTTAGTAGAGAAAAATGGTAGAAAAATGATGAAAATTCATATGGAAAATATTCCCAAAATTGAAAGGCACTTGGAACCACTATTTTGACATGAAAACTTACAAAACATGGCACTTAGGTTGTGACTAATAATCCACTTTCATTGTGATCGAGACTGAGACTATTGGAGTGCAAGAAAATTGCAGATTGGGAGTTTTGGAAAGCAAGCTAATTCAATCATTCAATAAATCTTGGAATTCATCATTTCAAGTAAGCATTTTGACCCGAAATTCATGTTAAAGTATGTTTCGAATTACTTCATTGGTATCAGAGCCATAAGGTTGAATTCCTTGCTGTAATACATGCTTAAATATGACATTACATGATACAATTGAGTTATGAATTTTATATGTAAAGTTTTGAAATCTTATGTGGTATTTAATGACATCTTTTGATAATCTACTGCTTTCTATATATTAAAAATTATGCAATAAAATTAGTATTATTCAAAAGGTATTTTAATAAGCTTTCCAACCATATAAAGAACTTAAATTTTGGACTTTAAACAAAGAAGTTGCGAGGGTTTGAAATTTGGATGTAAATCTGAATTTTTACATGAAAATCTGTAAAATTCGAAATTTCATTACATGATAACTTCTTCTATATTGTGTTTCATGTTTTCCATTTGGTATGGTTGGATAGATCTTTCTAACCATATAAAAATCATTAATTTTGGTCTTGAAATGAAGAAATTATAACCTCCCAAAATTTGGATGTAAATCTGATTTTTTTGCGAGAAGATTGGTAAAATCCGAAATTTCATCACATTATAACTTTTTCTACAATGTTTTATGCTTCCCATTTGATTGGTTGGATAGATGTTCTCAATACCTTTCCAATGATATAAAAACCACTAATTTTGGCCTTAAAATGAAAAAGTTATGATTTCTCGAAGTTTAGTTGAAAATCTGAAAATTTTGCATGATTTTTTTTTTCCATTTTCACTCTCGGACAGATCTATTGATGTCCCAAATGTGACTTTAAACATTGATTTTGTAAAATCTGACTACACGGATGAACTCAGAAAATCGAAATTAGTTGAGATGGCCAATTGTAAAGTTTTTTCGAGAACGGCATGGTGGTGCTAATGCGTCCAATTTTTCTTATTAATTTAAGAAAATTATTACAGATAGTCCCGCACGTGAGGTAGCGTGAGAAACTCGATTTTAATTCTAAAAAAATGTAGATTGGTCCCTGAGTTATTCTTGATTTTTCAGTATAAGTAAATGAAAATTTTGAATAGTTAAAAGTATTTTTATTTTTTGTATTTAATGCTTGAAATAAATTTGTAAAATTATTAAAGATATTTTTTTAACTTGAGTAAATTCTAATTTTTTTTTAAATCATGAATATTTATTAAAGGCATTTGGCCAATGAGAGCTATTTTTTTAAGTGCTCTCATTTTTTTGGAGAATGAAAAATATTCTAAGAATGTTTAAAATACCACGTTTTATATACATCCATGAGTTGTGATTATGTTATGTAATCCATTATAACTTGTTTTTAATTTTTGTGCTTGATCGGATATTATTGGATCTAACCACACTTATAGCATCCTTAAAGTGAAAGTTAGAAAAGCAAATGTTATGGAACTTGATAAAAAACTGTGTTTATTGAATTAATAAATGGATCTGGAGCATGACCTAATGGAACACGTAAATATTTTTGGGACAATTTTTTTTTATGATAAGCAGAATGTGAGAATTCCAATATCACTTCCCGTTTGTCGAGATTCTGTATAATAAAACTTAAATGATGTGAGTTTTATTCTTCGATTATAATTGAAATTATTTTTTGGAAGAATTAATTTGTGATATCATGGTATATGTCATAATTGGATAAATGTGCATTTTATTCTGTTATTGCACATTATGAGATTATCTTATTGAATTACATGATATCTATTAATTCGTGAATTGTTATGAACGCTAGGTTAGTAGAATAATGTGATTTTTAGTTAAACCTATTGATTATCAGTTGAGTGATAGTTCGACGATTGGAAGATTTAGAAAAAATCTTACTTAGAGAACTATTTGATTCACCAACTTAGTGGGAGTTCTCAAGTTGGAAGAATTAATGTAATTCTCGCTTATAATTCATGGAATTTTGTGTTATGAAATTAAGTGTATGATAGTGAAACAATATGATTGCGGACAATGATTGGGAACTAGTGAACTTTCGACTCTGTGCCTAATGTTGAATTATCGTATACGTTAATTTGTATTGATGCAAAATGATATATGTGCATAAATGGGCATTGATTGAGAATAAAATGTCTCTAAATTCTAATAGACCATGTCATCAAAATCTATAGTTGTCTATAGTTGTTGACCTTAATGAAGGTGACAAGCTAAATGCAATAACATTTGGCATAATAAGTTTTTAAGTTAGAAGAACGTGATATTTTAGATAGCATCAACCATGTAATTGAAGATATGATGTGGGTCAGACTACTCTAGATAATAAAGATCAAGAACTTTATGAAGTGCCGAAAAAGTAGATTCTAGTACTTGAGTATTTGAATTGTTAAGTTCTATTATAGATTATCTTTTTTTTCTCAAATGTGATTGAATTGAGATGGTTAGCATAGTGTTAACAATGTTTTTTTTTTTTTTTTTGTGAGTAGTAAGTTCAAACTAGTCTCATTTCAATGGATGAGAATTTTGAAAGTCAACGTGACTTACGAATTGAAGTGTCAATTTTCTCTATGACACTACCCACCGTGTGAATTAAAATGCTTGCGACTTGATGTTGCTAAATCTAGAGGACATGCTTGTGTAGCAATGTTCTAGTTCGCAAAAGATTTCGGATCTTAAACTTTAACTAAACTAAAACAAGTGCGGATGATGAGGAGATTGGAAAATGAACCAAGAAGAACGTATCAAATAGAAATATGTGAAAGTGGTTTTGGTAGAGGACCAATATTATAAATGTTCAAGTGTTGAATCATACGGTTTGAATCTATTAACTTGAAAATAGTTAGGTTAAAGGATATTGCACTTGAATATATTCATTTTTAGTGTCTTTTATGTGTCAACAATATACATATTGGATCTTATCTTATGTAAATAGTGGATTCAATAATTAGAAACCCGCTTTCTATGAGATCAAGATGTATTTTTAGTATATTGTCGAGTCTTTGAATTGATACATAGACGTATACAAATAATGAATATGAAGTGGAGGTATATATGACCGATACTGCAACTTAATATTGCAAAAAATGGAGAAATTGACCTCATATTTGAAATTAAGATAGTATCAAAAGTTCCACTTAACTTGATCTCATTTTTTGTTCTTCTAAAAGTGACCTATTACTTGAAATTATACGTGGTAATTTATATTTGTGCAATGGTTTGAAGTTTTGACTTGAGAAAACCATTCAAAACAGTAAGAACTAAACTTTCATTGAGTAAATCCGTTCGAATTTCTTGCGAGATAGATATTGTCATTATATTTGTAGATGGATTCACGCATTTCAATTGTGCCTCTGATTTTTATATGTTGAAGATATTGTATTGATTTAGAACTTATTGAAAGAGAGTAGAAATTCAGATTGAAGAGTGGAGACTTTGAGAATTGTTTATGAGAATCTTTATTACGAGATATCTATGATCTAGGTAATGAAAGAGAAATTCTTATTGGATTGATTATTTCTTGATCACCAATAATTATATGATTTATTGGGAATAAATAATATATTATTAATGAATGTGATGAGACTTGAGATAATGTAGTCCAATTTATGTATTTTCTTTTGGGAAGATTATTGATTAAGTGCAATGTGTCACTTAATGGAGTTTTCTCAATGTTAGTATCTTCAAAATATATAAACTTTGGACACGTAGATAACCAAATATGGGTTGTCTTAGACTCATAATCGATTATGTAAGTTCTTGATAATGAGTTTGGG